CCCAGAATCAACTGCGTCTCACCATCTCCACCATAGGCTGGATCATCTCTTCTAGATTATTCCAACAGCCCCGTGGCTGGTTCCCACCACAGCTCTTACCTCCCTGCAACCAATTCTGACCCAGTGGGCACGGTGACTACACACCTACGTCCAGCATGCCACTCCCTGTCTCCCTTCTTCCCTTCACTCAAGTCAAAGTCCTCATCTGTCCCCATCGCTTTGCAATCCTTGCTACCATCTAACTCCCCCCTTCTCACTGCGGTGCAGACATCCTGGCTTCTCTGCCAGAAAGGCACTGCTGTGGTTTGAATGTGTCCTCCGAAATTAATGTGTTGGGATGTGGTAATAATGTGAGGGTATTAAGAGGAGACCATCCCGGGCCAGTCAGTGGCTACCATGTGGTTCAGGTCCTGGACCCAGCAGCTTGAGAAACACAGCAAGCACACATGCTCTGCACACGCTCCTGCCCTCTACCAGTTGTAATGCAGAAGACCTTCGCCAGATGCTGGAAAAATGCTCTTAGACGTCTCAGCTTCCAAAGCCATATGCTAAGTAAACCTGTTTCACAAATTAAACTCAGGTACCTCTGTTATTAGCAACAGAATAGACTAGGACAAGCACAAAGGCCTTTGTATTTACTCCATCAAGAATGCCGCTCCGGGGGCCAGCTAGGTGGTATAGTAGTTAACATAGTTGGACACCCTCTGGGCCAGCAGGTGGCATAGCAATTACATTGCTGGACTCCCACATGGACAACCGTGGTTTGAGTCCCAGACTCGGTGGCTTGAATTCACACCAGGCATGCATGCGTGTGTACCCAAGATCCTGGGAGGAGAATGGAGAAGGGACTGTGGCATGGCCATCCCCTTGGGGGCTGATTTCTCACTATCCCTCTCACTGTCTCTGTCTGTCTCTCCCTCTCTCTCCAGCAAGTGCACACGCCCTAAAGCAAAACCCTCTATAAAAAAAAGTGGCAGGATCCCACATGGTTGGCTGCATAGTTGAGTCCCAGACCCAACAGCTTGAAAAACATCCCAGATTTGTGTGCTTACATACCCAAAATCCCGAGAAGAGAATGGTAAAGGGATTGCCGCATGGTCATACCTCTGGGGGGAGTGCTCTCTCTCTCTCTCTCTCTCTCTCTCTCTCTCTCTCTCTCTACACACACACACACACACAAACATACATGTATACACACACACTTTCTATCTCTATCCTTCTCTCTCTCTTCAGTGGGTGCATGCACTCTATGGCAAATAAATAAATAAATAAAGACTATGTTTGCAAATCCACTGGTGGTACAGTAGTTAAGGTAGCTAGATCCCACATGGTCAACTGTGCAGTTAAAGTCCTGGGCCCAGCGACTTGAAAAACACACTGGGTGCATGTGTATGTCCAAAATCCCAAGAGAATACAGAAAGAACTAGAAGTGGTCATCCCCTCTGGAGGGAGTTTTCTCACTTTCTTTCCCTCTTTCTGTATCTCTCTCTGGCA